AAAGTAGACCAGACGGTTCGTAACCCTTTGACAAAACACTCCACTGATGTAAAATGATTTCTTGTCGCAGACATGTAAAACCCACATTTTGTTTTTTCAAACGTTTGATTGTGAAGTCCATTTTACATGGGCAACATTTGCAGATTGAATTTTCAATTTGTAGATATAATGTAATCCCCTGTTTACTGGTAAATGTGTGTCCTAGAAAATAATTCAACTTTTAATATGTCTGATAGGACTTAGTTTCTCTGTTCATTGTTTACTGGTATCTTTTTAGTAAGTAATAGGCCCTACTACCGAATGCTAATATTTTCAAAACCATATTATTTTACCTTTGAGACAATAAAATTTAAAATAGTATATCTTTTTTGTTGTGAATAAGAGATTAGACTACCCACGTTATACATTTAAATACGGTCAGTGATCTTCACAAAGAAAAGCCACCATAATATCCACCCCACACATCCTACAACCCCACACCCACCAACCGTCTGACACCCACGGTAAACCGCACATTGTCTCTCACCCCAAGTGTCTCCCTCGCCCCCACTAACCCCCACCCCACAAAACCCTCATTTCTCGTTGTAAAGAAAAATAACCTCCATTTTTCTGCTGAAAAATGACCCGACAACCTTTAAATCCTCTACTTCAGTTAACTTAATCTGATTATGTTTTTATAGGCTTGACAATTTTTAATATAAGTTTTTATTTCATCAGTTTAATTATTTCGTTTTTGCAAAGCTTTTATTAAGTTCGCAACGTCCGTTTGTTTGTTTTTGGGTTGTGGCTAATCTTGTAACGCAATTTTGACCAAATTCTAATGCATTTTCCATATACCTTCTTATTTAATGTCAATGCATGAATATTTATGTTTTAATCTAACTAGACATTGGGTTAGTCATTACACTCTAATGAAACGGTTTCGAAACTAAGAGGATACATGCTAACAATCACTAAATAGATTACTAGATTCTATGTTCAATAACAGATGGGGAGCTAGACGCGACCATCCGATGAGCTGAGCTGTGGTTCACGTTGAATGTTGTTAGGTTATGGTTGGTAGCCTAAGAGTTGACTACGTAGAAGGGGCAGATAACTGTATTATGGAAATCGCAATCTGCTTGTCGGGTTTTAACTAAATTCAATAATAAAAGGGGAGATAACAAAATAAAATACTAGCGATCGTGCGATAAGCTAGCCGTATAGAGTGAACAACGAAGAAGGGGCAGACAAATGTCTTTCGAGATCCGTAAAGATCCAGTGTTAACTTCATTTTCAAAGAATTATTAAAAGGTGGAAAATTATTGAAAAATAAAAAATTGCCCGAAAACGTTTTATTTACAAGCTTTTATGAAATAACTAGGCATGCTGCCCAGCTTTGCTTAGGCTTTCGAAAACATTGAGAATTTGAATGCTTAATTAATTCGCCTGACGGTCGGTCTACGACCTCAAGAGTTATGAAGAGGTTCCTCCGTGGACATTTTTTTTCGATTTATAGCTCATATAAGGTACCGGTCAGTCGAGGTCAGTTTTGACCCCCTCATCATAGACTTTTCGGCCAACCGTGTTCTGTCGCCCCAAGGCAAGATCCTGCCAAATTTGAAGCGCCTGCGGCGCCGGGAAGTGCTCTATCGGACACCCGACAATCTAGATCTAGATCTAGATTCCTAAAAGAATTTTTTTAAGTTTTGCCCGAGCATAATAAAAAAGAATACATTAACCAAGTTGACTTGGTCTGTCTCGAACCCGCACCACCTGCATGGTTTAATGTACACTAACATCTTCGCTATTCAGGCACCTTATAAAATACGGAGAATGAAACACGTATTTTAAAATCTTAACTTACGCGAATATGCCTATTCTTTCAAATTAATTTTTTTTATCCCAAATTGGCCAGTTCCAAACAAAGATTTTGTATAAAATAAATAAGTCTTGAAATAGTTTAGTCCTAATATAGAAATTTATTTTTGGAATCGATTTTAGAGAAGTTAGAGTCTAAATCTAGATCTTAGCGTCTACGTCTAGATCTAGTTATTCATATTGCGTAGATTTAGATTTAGATTTAGTCTAGATATAGAATCTCTAGATCTAGAATCCAAATACATAAAATAAATTTTATGAGTTTAGGCCGGAAAAATTGTATTGTATACATTTCATAGTGTACGTAGATCTAAATAAAATTTGAATGAAATAGTTCATTTCTTTTTATTCTAAACACGGCGGATGACGTCATTAGTTAATGTATAAGCAATAGTGACGTCACAGTTTTATGCTTTCTTTTTCACATATATTAATGCTTTTCCGGTTGCATAAATAATACTGTATCTCTACATTCGAATACGCCTTTAATTTTTATTTTTCTTCTTTAAATAAAATTGTGGTTATACATTTAAAACATCTAACATATTATTTTCAACAAAAGTCCGTATAAAGTTCTCCATATATCGCTGCCGTTTCTGACGTGATGTCCGGCGAAAATATTTTGCGGACAGACAGAGAGAGAGAGAGAGAGAGAGAGAGAGAGAAGAGCGCACATGGCGTTTTATATATTAGGATGCACTAAAATTGAGAAAATAAATGATTTTCTTTAATTATATAATAATGCACTACTATTTAAACAATAAAGAAAACCGGAATTCACTTTATTATCTATTGGATATCTTTACTTATATATATATATATTTATATATATATTTATATATATATATATATATATATATATATATATATATATATATATATATATATATATATATATATATATATATATATATATGGATTACAGATTAAAACCGTGTGCGCTTTTTACATAGAGATCGAGTTTTCTAAAAACTACTAGTTGTAGATGTAAACGATTATTTACAAATATGCGTATAATTCTAGAGATTCCAAAATATCGAGCGCCGTAAAAGTTAAACAAAATTAAATAAATAGGCCTATTTGTAGCCTACTAATCACAAAATCAGATTTAAAAACTGTTTTATATTAGGCATTAAAAACTTGTATTCTATTCCTCCTAAAGTTTACATTCACAACATATTTTGTAATTTAAAATATCTAAACAGCGCCATTTTCCCATTATTTTCACTAACATAAAACGATATTCAACAATATATTTTAGAAAACGCCACTTGTTTTTAAAATGAACCAATCACTTTTAATCATATCACATCAACACAATCACATTTAATCAAAGATTTCATTAGCATTATCCAACACATTGATCAGAGAACAATATCAGTTTTTACTTTCTCGTATATACAAAGTATAGAGAAAGTCTTGTAATCGTGCAGAAAAAAAAATAGAGATTTTTACAAATCTCGACGTTTTACACCTCACTGATACGGAAAAACATAATTTTGCAATCTTGTCCGTATGTCTCTGTGTGTGTGTCTGTCTGTCTGTTTGTCTGTCTGTGTGTAAACACGTTAACTTGAGTACCGTTACAGCTAGGTTGATGAAATTTCATATATAAGTATTTTATCAAAATCGTTGATCCGTATAAACTTTTGAGCATTTTCCAATAAACGGAAGTGGTACTTTTTCTACTTTGAATTTTTCAAAAGCCTATAACTTGAGTACTATTTCAGATAGATAAATGAAATTTCACATGTAAGTAAAAGATCTAATTCTCTACCTTCTGTTAAAATTTGAGTAATTTCCGTTGACCGGAAGTACTAATTTACGCTATTTCCGATTTCTCAAATAACGCATGTAAATTTATAGAGTACTAATAATATTGCGCACTATTATGCACATTTTGTTTTGGCGTTTGTTTGGTGCGCAATTCTTTTTTTCTACGAGATTTTATTCTATTTTTAAAAGTTTAAGTAATTAAAAATCATGTGTATATTCCGAGCTATATGAGAATACTCGAGAAAGTTTAGGGGAGATCACTTCCGGTTTATTTCTTATATAGGCCGATGCTATAATGGGCTTAAAAACTTTCAAACATAATAAAACTTGGGAAACTAGATTAGGCAGATAATAAAATTTATGTTTACTTCAAATGAAACACTAATGGTGCAATCTCGCATCAATCCTTTTACACTTGTTGAAGCTCGGAGTTTGTTTTAGGCTCTTTCAGCGTTTGTGTGTAAGTCAGAATGTGCAAGTTTATTTGGATTAAATTAAGGTTTGAAGACTTTCCTTTATCAAATTGGAATAAATTAAGATTTGATGACTTTTCTGTATCGTATTTAAGAAGCTAGTAAGATACAATATTCACCAATTTTATGGAGTGCTTATTAATATGTAAGAAGATAATCTAACCATCGGCTTTACAAGAAGACTGAATGAATGAGACCGCCAGCACAAATAATTATATAGTACATACAAGTAGTTCACAAAGGTTAATAATTTATTTTATTTGTATGTTGTTTTTTTTTCGATCTAGAAGTAGAACATGGGCTTGTAAAATTTTAAATACCCTTTATTTTCAATTTAATTCTTATTAAAAAATAAAACATTCTTCATATAAATAGTATAATCAAATTTTATCATCCTACAATCCTATAAAGAGTATGTAATATAAATTGAGTAAATCTAAAATAACGAATGGGGGCCATGCGGTTATTATCTGTTGACAAATATTTGTAAAAGTAAGCAGTGGTGGCTATATAGATTTATGCAATGAGCGAAATCCGAAATTTTGGTTATACGGATACATCTAAAGCACACTCAAAGCCAATGGATGGTGCGCTTGAATTATAGAGCTTTCGACTGCTAATCGAAAAGTCACGAGTTCGGATATAGGAAAGTAAAGGCGGATGAGCATAGTGTTAGACAAAACCATTTTTTTCTAATGCCGAGGTCACTAAAACAGGTGAGCTCTACTTCATCTACCCCACGGGCAGAAAGTTTTAAAGGAATACTTTACTTTTTTTACTACACACGCCCTCTCGTACGCTTCATATATAAAAGCATTATACATTTGTGTTAATATAGAAATATACATATTTATATACATAAGCCTACTTACGTAAGTAAAACTCATATTGTTACCTTATTTTACCCTTACAAAGTGAGATAAAAACCTGTCTGAAGTTATCGCCAAAGATAATGTAAACAAAAAAGTTGATGACGTAATGAAGGTAGAGCAACGTCTCGAAGAGTCTCTGAAGGACGACCTCCAGCCATCCAAAGGAGAAGAGCGTCGTCAGTCGTATCACGTGACTTGGTGTGTGGAAAATGAGGATCGTCATGGATACCATAAACAAAAATTTACAAGCTTTAGTTTCCATGGCTGCGGCCGATGAACGGGACTTGACCAATGGAGCACCAGTTGATCCCTGTGTGCTGGTGGACGCTCTGGTGCGTGCTCTCGTTCTTCTGGAGGTGCGGCAGGCGATGATGGCGATGGCGGCGTTAGTTACAGCAAGAATAACAATAGGGACAACAATGGTTATTAACGTATCAATGTATGTCATAGTTAGAATAATATCAGCGTAGATTTCAAAATGGGTACATATCGCTTGATAAAGCTCCTCTGTGGTGTTGGTTGTATTGGTAAAGTTAGATATATCAAACTCAGTGTTTAAGAAAAGTGTTTGGTTAATGGTCGAGAATTTGTCGCTTTGAAGAGAATGTTGATCAAAAACCTGAGACAAATTTCCTTCCGTGGCTTTCATAGATGTCGCTGTTTCTTGCGGTTTTTCGTAAAAATTCCCGATTCCGTTGTTCCATATAGAAAATTGGTAAATCCCGATTCCAAATATAAGTATGGATGCGGTGAGGACCAAAGCGGAAATGGCGTTACATGATCTTTTGACGAACCAGGGTTTGACGACACAGAGCAGGTTTTCAACAGTCAGCACGACAGCCAGCCAGATAGACACGAAGGAGGATAAGTAGGAGCAGAAGATGACAGTCTGGCACACACCGGAAGTGAAAAATATCTTGATGTCCACTCGGGTCAACCAGACGATCAACACAGTCAGCAGAAAAACTAGGTCAGACACGGATTTAGACGCCAGGTAGACGCCACATGAGGATCGTCTGAGGTTAGGTTGTACGAATACAATCAACGATACCAGGTTTGTCACGAATCCGATTCCACAGATGTACGGGACGGCTGTTGTCTGTCCATCACGAACTTTTATGTAGACCAAAAACGCTTCATGTGAAGTGAACGGAGGGGGGAAGAACTCTTCTGTTTCGTTGGTCAACATTTCGATTTTTTAAATCTCTCAGCTGATGTAATTTTTACGTGTAATATAGTTACAGCGTTCTATTATATACATTATTTTTCTGATGCTACTTTTCTACATGAATGAATTCGTTTTCATATTCGTAGTTATGAATCCAACACTGTATTTTAAAAAAAATTCTAAATATTAATACTCCAAATAATGTTTAGTTTTAATCGCTGTGAGCAGTACTGGCAAGATGTAGAGGCGAACTGAAAATATTACGCCACATGTGCATACCTTGATTTATTTTAAGAAAATGGCAACCGTTTTGACGTTACTGCTTGTTAACATTTAGCACAGGTCTAAAGAAGGTCTGTTCTTTTAGTGTATCTGTAAACATAAAGCATTAGAAATGTTATTTTGAATTTATAAAAGTAAAAATAGGCATCCTATGGTTGATCTCACATTTATAATCATTCAAGACAAGCACAAAGATAAATTGTCGCTATTATCTACTGCATTTGGCAGGGTTGGCCTATCGATTAAGACTCAATGCCAGAAGTAATCTATTTGTCTTTGGCTTCAAGAAATATTAGTTTTGTTTGTTATTTCAACACACTGTGCCTACTTTTTTCCATTATTGAATAAAAAGAAAATGTTATCACAAATGATTAGTCAAGTCACAAACATGAATAAAGACATTTGTCTTTAAAGCTTTACTTGCTTCAAACATCATATATTTAGCCTCGCCTCTATCTCGTGTCCTTTAACTCACACTAAAACAGAACACAAACATGTTTTTGTACCTCGTGTTTAAAGTTCAATTGCATTATTTCAATGCGGTGTTATTTTAATTTCGAATTGTATTTAGCGACAAGCATGTTTGAATGGACTCTTGAGTTTCATGACACGACCTGAATCAACGACCAAACACAATAGTTAGTCCCTGTGGAGTTCATCGCCACATACCGCCTCCAGACGGCAACGTTATTCGCAGGCGATCCATTACGTTTTCTATTATTGGGCTTGTTTAAATATAACGCGCACGGTGAAAATGTTTCAATTACATGCCACTGCAGAAACGGTTTTGTAAAGGTTCACTGTAAACTGGTACTATTATATTTTTAAAGCGTATAATGTAAACTGTAGGTAATTACATTTAGATGTATAATGTTGTTCACGAGACGTCGACAGTGGATAATTAATGATTTAATGGATAATCATCCTCTCCCAAAGTAAATAATTACGTTTCACGAATTTTCTTCCGGTAGCTTCATGTAAAAGGAGTTCGTAAAAATAACCTTTTTATTTTTTATTTTCGTATTACACAGAATATTAGATTTCAAACAATGCTAGGGGCGATATTTTTTTTTTGGCATTGGGGTAATTTTAGAAGCCGATCAGAGTGTTTTATGTGGGGGACAGCCCCCCCCCCCGCAAGCCGAGGCACGTCTATCGCCCCCCCCCCCCAACCCGAGGCACGTCTATCGTCACCCCCACCTCCACACCCCCCTCCCCCAAACCCTTAACGAAATACATGTATGTAGTTAATATATGCTTTTACCAGTGCTATCCAGGAAACTTTTGTATGCCCCCCCCCCCCCCACCCCCTGAAAGTTTGAAACACCACAGAGAAAAAAAGTCTGAAAGAAAAACTGCTTGATATTTGATTAATTACAATGGAATAAAACAAGATAAAGCTAACGTAACATTTGCAAATTTCTCTCCCCCCCCCCCCCCCTTTATTTTGTAGTAAAAGTAAAGCTCCGCTTTAGAACTAGCGATTTCTTGTGAAGATTAAGTTAATACTTTTCTTACCAATGAATTGCAAGTGACACATATTTTTGGGAATTATGGAATTTTAGTAACTAAGCATCTTCATACATTAACCATGAACTAGAAAAAAAACTGAAAAAGATAAACGTATTGTTCTCAAAACATGGAGATGTACCTGCCAATTAATGTATTTTTGAAAAGAAATAAACATGATTGTTATAAATTACCTGAGCTAGGATATACTTGAAACTGATGATATGAGACAATTACTTAAATTTTAGATCTGTCACTAGGTAGTTGGTAAATTATATAGTGGAGTTTATATTTCAAGTAATTCTTTTTAATGAGCCATCAATTCAGAGAACGTAGATATCTGATATTTCAAGCGGTGCAAATAGTTGTAGTTAGTCCTAAACATGCCGTACATTATATGGCATTGTGTGAGAAAAGTATGGCATCTACATGATCTAATTAAATGTGTCAATCTTCTGCTTTTATATATTCGTCCAATAGTAATCAAAATATACGTTTTTTATTAAGCGAATTGAGTAACCAAATCTTGTGTATATGCTACATAACATAAGCTACAAACAAGCCGAAAAACTGTATACTTTTATAACTTATTTACCTTACACGTTGACTATACTTTAACAAAGATAATATTCAAGAGCTTTAGTTTCACTTTTTGTTTCAAGATATTTTAATGATTTAATTTTTGTTGTACGCTCAGCAAGGGAGACAATTCCCCGGGGGACGTAACCTCTGTTTGTGAGAGCTAATGACAAAATCAATATCTTCCATCTCTGTTGTGTTCTGACATAAAACTTGTTTAGAGGGTTCGGCATATCTTTGTGTGTTTTTATTGTTTATTAATTAGCTAGAGACATACATGGCATTTAAGACGTAGGGTAATTTGGTGTTTTTGTTTTAATAATCACGACACATTTTAAAAGCAATAGGCGAATATCAAAGTGGAGAGTTTTTTTGTTTTGTAACTCAAAGTATAATACATACACACACACTAAAGCAAAACTCGTAAAATAGTATAGGCCTATACAACATTCACAGTATCTATCTAAAATATATTACATCATCACTCGGAAAGTCCAGCAATAGTGAATAATTCTTCTTTTTCATAAGCGATGTTTCATTCCATAAGAATTACGATCTAATATATTTTAAACGGAAAAAAAATGCAATTAATTTAAAAAAAAAACAACTTTGACAAAACACACGGCAGAATATATATAAAACTTGCCAACTTGAATCCACTTGTGGTGATTGAGATGCTCCCAGCTGCTCCTTGAAACAGCACCATCTACATCTCCACCGGTCTAGAGTGGACACTTTATGCTACAGCCCGCGACGTTCTTTCATTCGCGCGGTCGTTAGAATTACCGCCGTGAAATGTATTTCTTACACCAGACGGGGGAAAGCTGAAAAGCTTGGTCACATTGTTTCACGCACACGATTACTGTTTCTGGGAGGATTGTGATGGAAAGGGGCTTTTTTTTCGTAGAGATCAATTTATATTTGATTAAAACTCGTGGATTGATCCTTGAACTGTTTTTGTTTTGTCTTATTTGCTAAAAAAATTTAAATGTTAACTTACAATTTTTAGGCACGAATCTCATGTATGCTCATTAATTGTTGTGATCTAGGTAAAAATAAATCTTGTAATTTTTTTTTTACAATAACGTTGGTAGAATTCTCTCCAATAGTCAGGGGCGGAACTACAGTGCCGCCAGACCCCGCAATGCGTGGGGGGGGGGGGGGTCCACACCATTTAGGGGCCCACAGCCGACCATAATAAAAAAAAATTTTAGTTACATTTTTAAAAATTTGCTTCCATTTTTGACTTGATGGTTGTTTTGTAAAAAGATTACTGTAGCTGCGGTTGGATTATCTTTATTCTATAGACACCATCCCACGCTCTTGTATAATTATACTTTTTCCCTTTGTTTTTAAACAATTGTGAAAGATAGGCAGACGTTTAAACAACTTCCATGACTTATTTCCATTTTTAAATAGTCAAATAAGGGTGATCATAAGCTCATTGTAATAGATTTGTACTAAACAATTAAAAGCAATTACTTCTCTTAATTATTAAAAAAAATACATACTAAAGAATGACAAAGTATAAAAAGGAAAAAGTATTTAAAATTTATAATATAAATACTAAAAGACATAAAAAATAAACATAACACTAGAAACCATTACGTATACAAATATTTGATGTTTCATATTCTTTTGACCACCTCAGGGTTAAGAAATAATATGGCATACATTAAATAAAACAGACTAATGCACTCACACATGTGAGATGTAGTAACTTGTTTTAATAAAAAAAAAATAGATTTTTTTTTCAAAACCCGATCACGTCAGAAATAAGTATCCTATGTTCTTTAAAATGGAAAAGACAACAATTGTCCCTTTTTTTTATTGTTTCGTCCTGCGTGTCCCAGCAAAATTGCCCTACATTTTTAGTTTCCCCGCTTCGTTTTTATATCCCAGTCAAGTACTTTAAATGCTACGATTTGGCCGTCTGAGACGCATTGTTTAGCTATGTCTTTGTTTTCTTTATTCAGCTACCATTTCCATTTATTTAACGCAAGACTAAATCATCTTTTTTGTTACAGTGTTAAGGGGGAATAACCCGTAGGCTACTTTAAAAAATAAAACGTTTTTTACCGTTTTTTACAGCTTTGCTATTATTATTATTGTTTTAGCACTAGGGTAGGCTGTTATGTATTATTCAAGTTACAGCTAGGGTCAAACTGCTGTTCATGTCGTAACTGTTGGTCAGTTTTGTAGTCTGACATTTTAAACTTTGAACCGTCGCTTAATCTTCTGTTACCAGATGGCGCTAGGTTTCTGTGGTCAGATTATATTAACATTTTTTTGGTTGAGGTTTAGGCGACTGAACGTGTTAAACTCAGATTTTGTTTGCTACGTATGTCAGGCTACACAGACAACGTACACATGTAATTCGTGTTTCTATGTGTCAATGACACATAGAAATACCATTACTCACGTTATATTAGTATAAACTGTTTAAAAATATATCATAGAGATAATCTGGGTTTGCTTTTAAAACACAAAACAAATCTATTTTTTGAATACTATAACATGAAATAGCATTTAATAATAAACAAAAAGAATTAAACCTTTGGTTTTAATCTACGACTGTTTACAGTTATTTCAAATAACCAGTTGATACAAAAACAAATAAAATGTTGAGGACGTCATTAAAAGAAACATTC